TATGATACTGGGGATCGAACTTGGGACCTTGTTCTTGCAAGGCAGGCAGTGGAACCACTGAGCTAAATCCCTGGTCCAAGAAATCATATTTTTTAGATTTTAAAAAATTACTAGTGGTAGTTTTGCTACTAATCTGTTATAGGAGCTCTGCCGATAAAACATTAAACCTCTCATGCCTTTCTTTTAACATTATTAAGATGAGGAGAGTGATACTAGTGTATTTGATTATTGTGAGGACTGGGTTCAATTGTATATTTAAATTGACCTAGAATAGCCTTCTCTACCAAAACTGATAAACATACGGCTTATTCTTTTACTTAAAGCTTAAAAACCAGGGTGCAACATAATAACAATCAAGATATTTAACAGAAAAATGTAAATAATCTTTTTGTGCAAATCAATGTTAATCAACTTAAAGTGAGAAAGAACAAACTAGAACTAAATTCTCATTAAATTTCTAATCTGAAATTTTAAAGAACTAATTTTGACCTTTTACTGTTCTCTCACATTTACATTATTTTTTAGCTACAAAAAAGCCCTGTGGTTTCAATAGCAATCGTTACCTATTTTAGATGATCAATGCCAATAAATATTTTGTTTCTGAATTTTCAATCTGTTAATTGTGAAATCTTGATTGCAGGTGAGATTTAAATTTCTGAAAACATCTTGGGAAGATGGAAATAATTTTTCTGTAAATTATAAATAAGGCTCTTTTTCTTCCTAATGACATTTCAAAGCACTATTTTTCAAAGTTTAAGATCCATCTGTGACACGTGTTTTTAATCTTTGACAGCTGTCGTATTTTCTAATCTCTCATCAGATGCATAAAAGTAACATCACCGTGGTGGTGTTTTTCATTATGCCTGCCAAGACAAACAATTTCAATGTGGAAACCCTAAAAGGACAAGCAGTGCGGAAGCAGCTATGGTAACCTCAGGTCTTGTGAACATTCTCCAGCAGTGAATGTAAAGGGATTTGTTTTTTAATTGCATGACCTCTGAGATTTCATCTAGAACTTTTTTTGCCCTAAGATTATTAATCCTACTTGGTTCTCTCTCCATCTTGCTCCCGTGTCAGATGCTGTCATGGCGTATAACATTATAGCTCTTAGTAGAAAAACTGCAGAATAGCAACCGTGGAAGGGGCAAGCCTCTGCAGAATTCTGCAAGATGGGTTGAATATGTCTTAAACTTTTTACTTAAAACTACATGTGTAATGACTCCCTCTACACTCAGCCTGGAATCAACAATTATCAACCAATTCCCAAACCTATTATATCTATACCTCCAGTCCCTGCTCATCCCTGCTCTCAACCATCCCTCAGTCATGATCAAGCACAAAACACTCTCTGTGCTGGTCAGTGTCCTGTTTCCTCAGCTCTGGGCTTCCTCACTCAAGCTAAATTGGCAAATGCGAAAATAATAGAAGAGGGTCCATAAGGAAGACCTGTCATGTCAGAGAACGCTGATGAAACAACAGCACAGTTATAAAAAAGGAAGATGGGATCCGGGGATTCAGCTCAATGGTGCTGCTGCCTGCCTCACTAAGAGCAAGGTCCCAAGTTTGATCCCCAGTACAAAAAAAGAAAAAGGAAGATGAAAAGTTATGACACTGTCTAAGTTAGAAATCATTCTATTTCACACAGGGACACTGTACATTCAATGAAGGAAAAGTTTGGAAAGAAACTCTATGATGCATTGTTAAGGTAGGGGTTTGGAAGATTTAACACCCCAGACTTAATAACTTAGATACTATCATGTATTTATTTCATTCTAAATAGAAAGAAATTAAGAGTTTTTGAAGATGTGATATGTAAGCAATGTTTTGCCTTTTATTAGAAAAATACCAGTAAATACCTTGTACACAGAACATATTTGAATATGCAAGCAAGTTCTAAGTCAGGGGGGCCTCACTACAATTTTCAATCCAAAAGCTGAGACTCCAAGTCAAAATATATATGACTTAATATGTATACTATGCATTTATATAATATTCATACTTATATATGAAATCTACATTAATATCTTTACTTAATACATAATAACATTTTTAAAATAAATGAATTGTGTAATATATATGTCTGCACTAAGCACTTTATTGCTGCCAGCTGTTTTTATTTTTATTATTAATATTATTTTCCTCATAGAGGAGAAATTCCTGACATGAATAATATTTTGGATCGAGATGACCTAACAATTATGAAAAGAGCCATCTTTTCAACACAGGTAAAAAAAAAGTACCCATCATTTCTCATAATTATTAAAATTAATCTAAGTCAATATTTAAATATTAAATTAAATATTAAATTGGAACGTGCCAATTTGAGAACTTTGCAGAGCTGAGAGTTAGAAGACATTCTAATACAGTCACTTTAATGATGGCTTTGTATGTATTTTGTGAGTAATCTTATGGGCTTCTTTCTAAATAAAGAAAATGTGGTATATATACAGAATAAAGTACTATTCAGCCATGAAGAGGGAAAATTTTTGAGTCATTTGTAGGAAAATGGATGGACCTGAGACCATAATTTTAAGTGAAATAAATCAAATGGGGGTTAAATATTGTATGGTTTTTCTTATATGAGCAATCCAAAATATAAATAATTTCAAGAGCAAACTAAAAGATAGGTGAGAGGAAACAGGGAGGTGGACTGTATGCAGATAGGGAGCAGACCCAGGGAAGGGGAAGAAGTAATGAGGATTCAGATGCAATATGTATATTGCCATCTTGCCACAATGAATCTTCTCATTATATATCACAACATGTACTAATGAAAAAAGTATAGTGGGAAGAACAACAAAAAAATCTTTTAAAATTATGAAATTTGTCCTTGCATCCACTTACAAAATTCATTTGTAACTATTGTTTCCAGTTGAAAATTTTTACATTGTAATAAAAACCTACTAAATTTTTCCAAGGGCATAGAATTTGTCAGAGTAGAAAAGATGTTCAAATGGAATTATGGCAAAAAAAACCCCAGTAAAACAGGGCCGGGGATTTAGCTCAGTGGTTCCACTGCCTGCCTCGAAAGTACACGGTCCCAAGTTTGATCCCCGGTACCACCAAAAAACAACAACAACAAAAACTAAACAAACAAATCTTGGGCCGGGGATTTAGCTCAGTGGTTTCGTCGCCTGCTGTGCAAGCCCAAGGACCGGAGTTCGATCCCTGGTACCAAAATCAACAACAACAACAACAAAAACCAGTAAAACAAATGTTTTAGGCATGCACCCAAACTCTTGGCCTACTAGTGAGATACCAGGAACTGGAGAACAGCTCTGCTAGAGGACTCCAGTAAAGTTCATCTTGGGTAAGATCCCAGACACGCTTGTATTCCAAATAAGTCCCTGAGGCAGTCTGGAAGTTTGGCCTTTGTTATCGTGGGCACAGGTGAAAACAGAAGCTCCACGTGTCCCCAGTGTGCAGAAAGTTCTTGAAGTGTTCACCTTCCTCTGAAGTACACAGGAACTTAGTCACCACCGTCTGGTCATCTCAAGACTAAGCGCATAAAGGTTGCTTCAAAGGTCAGTGGCCTGTGGTTGATATTAGTCACACTCATTAATTCCTTCCACCACTGACATTTTCTTCCTTCTGTCATTTCAGCGACAATCTCTGCCACCGGTGACAACTCACAACATGATTGATGACTCCACAGACCCTATTCTCAGCACCATTAGGCGGCTCGGGCTTTTCAACAGCCGCTCAGACAGAGTCAAGGTAGAGCCAACTGGTCATGAGGCTGCTTCGCAATGACATAGCATAGCTTTGGGGAGAATTTTGTAGAAGCTTCTCTTCATTGTTTCAACATTTACCAGAAATATTTGAAGTATTACTGAAGAAAACCAATTGTTTTTTGTTTTAGGGACTTAGAATATAATGAATATTTTATATCATTCTTCAAAACTGAAATGTACTCATGGCTTTGAGTTAGAATCCTAATTTATATTTTCATTGTACAATGTGATCAATAAGCATAAAAAATCACCTAATTCTTGATACAAATATGTTCTAAGAATGACTTTAATAAGTATAGTACTAATATGAATCATGATTATTCCTTCCTGATAAAGTTCAGTTTAAGGGGATGAGAAGCTTCCAGTGTTAGAGGATGTTTTTATGTAATTTTCTCCCGACCAGTTAATTCTTTTTACTTTTGAGTTTCTGCAACAATGAGGCTCAGTATTATTTGCTGAGAGTCTTTACATGAATGAAACCTGGTTTCCCCACTGTGAAGCTTAATCTCTTGATACTTACTGAGCCTGCTGTGTGCCAGGCATGGTACCTGGTGTGGATGGCAGAGGAAGGACATGAACAGATCATTGTTTAACTTTACTCTCTTCCATCCATCCATGTTCATGATCAAATTGTCATAAGCTGCTTCCAGTCTTTTCAAACACCCCACTCCTCCTTCTTTTCACTTTTAGAAGATGATTTTCTTGAGAATTTAATGTTATGAGCTCCTTCAGTGTCTCATGGAAGCCTCAAATAAAGATTGTGACTCCCCCCCTCCAGTTCTGACATTTCATTCACTCCCATAATACCCTTAGGGAACTTGCTGTATCTGTTCTTGTCCCTCCCCTCTTTTAAATTTTATTGTTGTTTTGTGTGTTGGAGACTAAGTTGAGGGCTTCCTGAATGCTAAGCAGGCACTCTACCATTTAACTGCATCTCTAGCTTTCTCTTCTTTCTCTTCCCTCACTCCCTTTCTCCTCTCCTCTCTCTTTTTCTCCCCCCTCCCCCATAGTGAAGACTGAACTCAGGGCCTTCAGACTTAGATACATTTCCATCCCTCCTTTTATATATATTTTAGAGACAGAATCTTACTAAATCATTAAGTTGCTCAGGCTGGACTCAAACTTGTGATCTTCCTGCCGCAGCCTCTTAGAGTGCTAGGATTCTAGGCATGCACCACCATGCCCAGTTATTACACTCTCTTATATTGAAGATTTTTTCCTTAGAATTAGCCTCTCTCCTTCTTTTTACAAATATGCCTTAAATCTCTCCGCATTTGAAAATAAACTTTGCCTTAACTTTCTCCTCCTGATGTTTTTGGGGAAAAATGATGTATTCTTAGATTCTGTCTTAGTTACTTTTCTCATTGCTGAGACAGAACACCTAACACCTTAAAGTTAATGGAGGAAAGGTTTATTTTCACTCACAGTATGTAGAGGTTTCAGCCCATACTCACCTGGTTCCAAGGCAGGGCCATGTAGCAAAGGGACATGACAGAGAAATAGTTCATGGCATAGCAGGCAGGATGCAGCAAGCAGCAGCATCAAGCCTCCCTTTCCCTTTTATTACATTCAGGCTATAAGCCTATTGGTTGGTGCCACCCACACCCAGGGTGGGTCTTCCCATTACTATGCTAAACCAATTAGTGGTCTAATTTAGTTATTATACTTCCTTGATCCATACTGATGCACCCTAGATCCAGCTATCTCTGAAGAGCTCCACCTGTGAGTGTGTGAAGCTCTGGGAGTACATCTGGGCATGAGCCATAACACCAATGGGTACCGGTAGTGAGACAAAGGGAGATGTCAAGGATAATCACCCTCTGCATCTGACCAATGCTTTCTAAAAACTAAAGAAAGACTAGGAGAAGCTAGTTTGAAGGTCATGTCATGAACTTAGTTCAATTTTTGTTAGATTGAGTTAGAGTTGCATGTGAGATGTCCACTCTGAGATGTGTAATAGGAACTTAGAAAGCACAAGTTTGAGACTTACAAGGGCAATTGCAAAGGAAGCTATTGGTGCAAACAGTTTTGTGGTAGAAACAAGAGAATGGTGACCTTTAAATCCTTGAAAATGGGGTTGAACAAGTGAAGAAAAATATTGACATAAGGAACCCTCAAGATTTCAGAAAAGGTTAAAAGAAAACTCAGAGGGGAGAAAGAGCAGAGAATTAGAAGAGAAAAATATTTCAAGCAGGAGAAATTTTCTTAATGGTTGGAAGAGCTCCATGATACAGCTAAGCAGTCAACAAAATGTTCCATCCTGTGTTATCCCATCATTTTCATACATATTTACACATATACATGTATTGTGCTATGCCATACAGTTGTGAGTGCTTTTCCATTTCTTTTTTGGGTTCCTGTATTTACAAATTTTCACACTTAACATGCCCTCCTGCAGCAAGAAGGATAATATCTGGAAAAGTGGATTTCATCTATCATGGATGCCCCACCCTTTACATTTTTTTTCTATCAGACTGGATCCACAGAGACATTTGTCCACAGAATGTGCCAGCACTAACTTGTTCTTGTTGTCATATAGTTCATCTGATCCATCCTTCTCAATATTTTTCATAGAAAGGTAGAGGCAAGGAAAGCTTGTTTTTATGTACATTTCTGTTTTCCTTGGACCCTTGTATGTCACACCCATATCTACCTCTGTGGAGCCTCCAGTGAGGATCTGTCTGATGTCTTCACACCTGTGTGAGTCAAGGGCAATAAATACAATGGGAAGGAGGGATGCAAGAGGGTGGAGAAAGGGTGATAGGTTATGATATTGGCAGCGGCCCATGGTTTTCTCACTCTTGGGGAAACTGAGGCTGAAGGGGCCCTTGCAATTGGGAGCTCTGAACAGAGAATTCTTTACCAATCTATGTTTAATTTGTTCTCTTTCTCTCACTTTGCAGTTCTAGGGATCAAACCCAAGCACCCTACCACTGAGCCATACCCCTAGCCTTATGTTTTTTATATCAGTGAAACGATTTTTCGGGAATGGACAAGTTCCTACTTACTAAACATATTAACACTCAACACCTTTGTGTGTTTGTTGATGCCATTATCTCTGTGAAATCCCCTTATCACAGTCATGCTAGCATTTTCTTTGGGATCCAACCTGCAAGTCAGCTCTTCCTTGCTCCACTTTCCTCTGTGCCAGACAGGCACTTTATGTCTACTGCAATTACATAAATTAGCCATTAAATTGTATTTTAAGAATTTTATGTGTCCATATGTTCAGAAAGGCTGTGAGTTCTTTGAAGCAGTGATATTGTCTTGGTTATGGTGCTCTCTGAAGCAGATGTGCGGGCAGGTTAGATACTCAAAAGGCTCCTTAGAGTAAATGCCTGTGAAGCATAAAGAGGTTGGAGGCAAGAATGGACAGAGAGATACAGTCAGACACCCATGAAAGGGGAGCACAAAGAATCAGACAGGAAGATCCACAAACTACAGCCCAGTTCCAAAAATGTCTCAGTGTTTCTTCTCTTCCTCTCCCTCCCTTCGTTCCTTCCTTTCTTTTTTCTTTCTCCTTTTCAGAAAGAAAAGTTGAATGTGTTTAATGAAAAACTAGAATTAATGAAAATTAGTTAGCAAATATACCGAAAAGTCTACAGAAAGCAGCAGACATACAGTGAAGCACAAAGGGGACAAGCAGTGGTCTGAGACCAATCCACGTGACTGGTCAGGGAATGGACCTAAATCCACACACAGGACGGACTCACACACACACAAAGTACAGCACTTTTCTGGAATTTAATATATACTTAAAGCACTGAAAGATACATCCATCCATTCTAAATTAGGTAAATTTAATTTTCATAAAAGAAATCTTTAAAGCCGGGGATTTAGCTCAGTGGTTTCGCTGCCTGCTGCACAAGCTCAAGGACCCGAGTTCGATCCCCGGTACGAAAAAAAAAAAAAAGAAATCTTTAAAAACTTAGCTGGGAGGGCTGGGGATTTAGCTCAGTGGTTCTGCCACCTGCCTTAAAGCACAGGGTCCCAAGTTCGATTTCTGGTACCAAAAAAACACAAAACTTAGCCATCACTTAGGCTTGTATTAATTTAGGTACCTGATTGATCACTGGCCTTTTAAATAGAACTATACAGAGTAGATCTTAATTCTCAGAATGGCTTGGTAAGTGTTTAGTACTAAATACAGAACAATGCAGACTATTTTGAAAGTAAACCAGCTTCCTAGAACCTCACTTTCTGTCTGAGTTAAATAAAAAGTCAGTCAAGTTTGTTTGTTTATTTTGTTTTTCCTGCAAATAGTGCCTGCTGTGAGCCAGGTGTGGAGTCTTTCATATACAAAATCTCATTGAATCCTTTCTATAACCTCCAGCTGACCTCTAGAATTCCCTCCTCTGCCCTGGAGTTCTGCAATTGGCTGGTTTATGGCCCAGGGCAGCTGCTGCTTATTTTAGCTGTGCAGTCATTCTGGTAGTCTGGGACAAAATGAATGAGCCGTGATATTTCGTGTTCAAAATGGAGCCGTGGACAGGGCAATTTTTTCTAAAATTGGAAATGCTAAAATAGTTACAATAATTTTCAAATCCTTTTTCTGGTTCTTTGCTGAGAGACCAGAACCCCTTGCTAGCAGATAGTACCCAGGTACACGTCGTAGGACTCTGTCTCTTTTTCTAGTGCATTACTTTACACATAATAGGAATTCAAATCATGTTTTGTGGAAGAAAATAGTTTATCCACTTACTTAGCGCTTTTGTAATTCTTGAGCCTGAACAGACCGTTGATTTTAAGTACTGGCTTTGGACATTTTTTGAGCATTGTACAATTTTACTTCTTCAGTTTAATGTACTCCTATGATCTACTGAGATATAACAGCTGTAGCATCTTTGTAGATCGATGAGTTAAAATTCTCCATTAAAACAAAGACTTCAAAGTGTCTTTTCCTTTAATTTTTGGCATATAATGAGATTATAAAATAGTAACATCAACTTAAAATGAATAAACCTACGGCTTTTGTCCTGCCTTGCTTTCTTTATTTCTAAAATTAGGATAATGAGAATGTTCATTCTTCCCACCCCACAGTGTGGGTGGGACAAAATGAAGTAATATATGTGAAAGCTGTTTATGATGCATGTAATGTTATAAAATGTTATGATTTTTGCTAAATCTCCAAATTAGGATTTTTCTTCAAAGTAATCTCTTTTATGGGCTGGGGATTTAGCTCAGCGGTGCCACACATGACTGACATATGCAAGGTCCTGAGTTCGATTCCCAGTACCAAAAACAAACAAACAAAAAAATAAAAACAACAAAAAGCAAAGTAATCTCTTTGGAATAATAAATATTCCTACTCTGTGAGTAAAACGTGAAAAGTGTGGTGTGCCTTTTCTTTGTTCTCTGCCTTTTCTTCTTTCTCTTTCCTTCTAGAACAATTTGTTTGTAAAGCTACTAGGTGGGGCCCACAGTACCAGATTGGGGAGGGTGCCCAGGCTGTCCAGAGATAGGCATCAGGGTGAGAAAGGGCTGCACAGTCGCCACACAGCCTGAAGCAGAAATTCAGAGGCAACCGGGAGCTAGGAGTACATCTGTGCATGCGAAGAAGCATGCAGGTTTATATGCGTGCTTTTTTTATTACTTAGAGTGATACACTATAAATCATTTATGTGATTAAAACCTATCATGCTCGTATATACCAATATCTATTTACACATTAGTTTATCAATTTTTAAATGCCAGCACACCACTGCATACTGGTCATGGCAAACTTGCTGCCTTTTACTCTGAATAAAATGGAATTTTGAATGGGGTTGGGATTGAAGCCAGGGTTTTTTCACTGAGCTACATTCCCAGCCCTTTATTTATTTTTTTAATTTTGTGACCAGGTCTATCTAAGTCACTAAGTTGTCCAGGCTTGGCTCAAATTTACAATCCTCCTGCCTCAGCCTCCCAAAGTACTGGCATTGTAAGTGTGCACCACCAGATCTGGCTATGACTAACATTTTTAAAGGGTCCTTGGCTATGCTGAATAGAGAACCTCTTGAAATAGAGGCCAGAACATAGAGTAGGAGGCAGCTGCCTCTTAGATGAGAGAGAGAATGATGTCTTGGATGAGATCCTCTGGTGTGATCTCATCTAGATGAGATTCCTAGACCATCCTCCCTGTCCCTTAGCTTCTCCACTTGGTTAACTCAGGCTTGGGGTATGTCAGAGTGGCCTATTGCATAGATAGCTTCCCTCTTTGCTACACAAGTTGGGGAAATTAATAAATAAAACAGAGGTCATCAGTTGCTGCTCTGTTGCTGCTCAAGGCAGGATTAGAAGACATTGTTTAGTAGGAGAGCAAAAGTGGACACTCTTATATGCCATGCCTTGACACATGGGCTGAGACCACAGAGTGGATACTCTTACTTAAACAGAGTGATATGAGGAGCATAAAAAACAAGCCTTTTTTCTTTTTTCTTATCTCTCCCTCTCCCTATTAAATGTGGGATGCAAGTATCCTTATAGTAGTAAAGTAACCAAATGAAGGGGAATTTTTGCTTTCCATTCTTCTTTTTCTCATTAGTATTGTTCTTCTTTTTAGATAATTTTGCACCCAGAGTTTTTGTCTTCCACCAGTCCCCTGTTGCCCATGGATTATGAGGAGTTCGTGCGAGGTTGTCATCTTGGTGTGTTCCCATCATACTATGAACCCTGGGGTTACACTCCGGGTATGTGACAAATATCAACTGTGAAGTAGTATACTATTTCATATGGACATATATAACATTAAACTTCATATGTAATTTATACTAAAATTTTGACCTTTCAGTTCATCTTAAAAATTATTTTGGTTCATCTATCTCAATAGTCAATTTTATGATTTTTAGATACTAAGAATAAGGACAAGATTATGTAAGTATACTTTGGTGTGTTTGGCATATTTTTTTTTTTTTTTGGTACCAGAGATTGAACTCAGGTCTTTGCGCTTGCGTAGCAGGAGGTGAAACCACTGAGCTAAATCCCCAGCCCTGTTTGGCATATTTTTATGAGTATCTGATTTATTGCTTCATTGCATTGCAAAGAAAAAAAATGTTTTATAAAGGTTGTGTTTATCTCCACCTGACCCATCCACTAATGAGAAGACATTAGCTACAAGTAGAGTTAATATGAGAAATAATGATCTAGCAATAGAGTTCTCTAAAACTTATTTCAGAAGAATACATTTTAAAAAGTCAACAGATGTATTTATTTGGAATAAGTAACATGGTCACATATTTAAAAAACAAATAGCATACAAATGTATAGTGAAAAGTTGTCTTCACATCTCTGTTCCCCCAAAAGACATACTATTAAGAGAAAATGGCAATTAATGGTAGATAATGTCACTAATAATATTATTGCCTTTCAAAGCTCCTCCTCCCATCCCCACCCCTTTTTTGGGGTACCAGGAATCAAACTCGTGGCCTTGCCTATGCCAGGCAGGCGCTGTGCTGCTGAACTACATCCCTGGCCCTTCCTCTTCATTTCTAAGAGATGGTAGATTCTCAGATCCACTATTTATTTGTCCTTTCTGGCCTGTAGTAGCCTGGTTGTGATCAAGAGCAACTGATATGTATTTATACTGAAATGACTAATTAAAAGGGAAACAAATACTTTAAATGCATGGCAATGACAAAGAATAAAAGAATGACTTTCCTATCTCTTATTGATAATCAGAGATAATTTTCCTCATTTGAATACAATTCCATTTATGACCTTAAAAGAAAAAGTTCAGAAAATATTTGTATTTATAATTAAGAGAATGAATTTTGTCTTCTGCATCTCAAAGACAACAGTGATCTGAAACTCCAGTAAGGGGCAGCAGAGGCCAAGGTAAGGGGATAATAGGTAGAATGAAGAAAAGGAAGAACTAGGCTGTTGAAGTGGGACTGTCCTGTAACTCCAGCTACAGTAGGTTGGTTTGGGAGGATCATTTGACACCAGCCTGGGCAACATAGCAAGACCCTGCCTCAAAAACAAAACAAAACAAAAACAAAGAGAATTATTTTCTAATATATGCATTCTTTCCCCAGAATTTAATTTAAAAATCCTATAAAAATAGGTTCCTAGAGTCTTTAGGCTCTGCATTTATTAATAAAGTCCTATTCTATTGTTTTAGATTCCACCAAAGATAATTTTCCAGCAACTGTAAAAATCTTAAAACTTCCTGACAAAGGATTACTACTTCTTGAAACACATCATAAAAAAATATATCAAACTCCTCTTGATTTTGAACTACTCTCTTGTAGTTCAAAAGCTCATTACTGGCATCAGTTTTACTCTGTGGCACTGGTCTCTTCTTATGAAACGTTCACATAGACATCTTAGGTCATTTAATGGAATATTGAACAAAACATTTCACCAGTGAACTTAACACTTCGTTATTGAACCTTGTTCCTACTATTCTTAGTAAGAAATGCAATTTACTATAGAAATTATCACAGATAGAAGAGCAAAAGTCCAAATGTATGAGTGACTGTGTCATGTGAGGATTCATTTTTACTGGGTGAAAAGAATGTTATGTAACAGCTGCCTTTCTTTCCACCAAAATGTTTTTGTATAGGACAAGGTTAAACTTAACAACCCCAAACGACAAGCAAGCTCTCATTAATGTTCTAAGATAAAGACCAGGAAAAATGTTTTATAGATGGGAAAAGGAATTTGTGGAATACTCCATGTGGATGAACCTATCTGTGTTTTAAATTAACCAAAGGGAGTTGGTCACTTCTCACTCAACCTACAGTTAAAGAAATAGCAAAAGTTCTGGTGAAATAAATGTAGCCTTTGCATATTAGATAACTGATTTCTTTTTAGAATAATCTTATGTGATATTGGGTCTAACTCCCTATAGGAAGCATTCATTAAAGTCTGCTCAATGTGTTAAGAAACCTACATTAATCTAAACACTTATTTCATTAAATAAGGCTTACATAGCTGCCTGGCACTTTACTACAAAGTTTATTAATAAAAATTTAAGTTTTTTAAAAGAATACAGATCCAGCTGGGCATGGTAGTGAACACCTGTAATCCCCACACTCCAGGTGGCTGAGGCAGGATCGCAACTTTGAACCCAGCCTGGGTTAACTTAGCAACTTAGCATGATTCTGTCTCAAAATTAAAAATAAGGAAAAGGATTGGGGATGTAGTGAGAAAGCTCTGTATTCAGTCCCCAATAAGAAAGAAAGAAGAAGGAAAGAAAGAAAGAAAGAAAAAAAGAGAAAGAAAGAAAAGAGAAAGTCATGAAATTCTTGGAAAAATTGTGTATACATAGTTACATGAATTTGTCTGGGGAGGAATTCCAGAATTGTCATCAAATTCTCAGAGGGATTTGTAATCCCCTTCCATCCTCTTCCCCTTTACCATGCCTCAAAATTAGAGAACCAATGATCTCTATCTGGAGATCTAAGCCAAAAGGAATTGCTTGAAGAAGAAACGAAGCTGCTGTCCACACTGTATTACTTTATGAGTAATGGGGAGATCACTTTTGTACCCACACCTGATCCACAACCAAGAAAAATTCAATATTTAGATATAAATACTTCCTTAAAAATGCATATGTCCACCAGGTGTGGTGGGACTACATGCCTGTAATCCCAGCACTTTGGAGGCTGAGGCAGGAGGATCACTAGTTTGAGGTCAGCGTGGGCTACACAGCAAGTTCAAAGCCAGCTTGAACTACACAGTGAGATCCTGCCTCAAAAACCAAAAATAAACAACCAAAAATCATAGCTCCTTGTGAGCAGTAGACTTTTAAAAACATACCGTATTTTCTGGGAAACAAGTTTTGACCAAAAGATGAGAGAATACTGATAGAGCTCATTGGTTCACTGAGCACCTAAGAAAGTGGCAGAAACTTGGGCTGAGGAGATTTATATGAGAAGAGAGAAGCTGGTCAAGTCCAAATCATATTTATCCTAGTCCCTGTATTTGCCAAGTAGAGTAACAGGCTCAGATTGGAGCAAAACAATGTGAAGTTGTCCATGTTACCTAACTTCTCCGTACTTCCATTTATCCAGGGAGACTGGTAGTGTCTTTTCATAGGCTTGTTGCGATGATTAAATGCATTCATAAACATGGAAAGAACTTAACACCTGCCTGGCATAAAGTAAACATTCCTATTGCTAAGCCGACTATGGCATTTTTCTCCTCTGCATGCTCATGAGCAGCTGGTCTGAAGCAAAACAAGCCTTTGTCTCTTTGTCCTGGCAGCCGAGTGCACTGTGATGGGCATCCCCAGTGTGACCACAAACCTCTCTGGCTTTGGTTGTTTCGTGCAGGAGCACGTGGCTGATCCAACTGCTTACGGTGAGGTTTTCATCAACTTAACCTGGGGAGACCTGGCCTCTAACCAAGAAAGCAGGGATCTTAAAAGAGCCTAACTCTAAAGCTGTCCTAATAAGTAAATGAATCTTTATATTTCTTATTTCCTTAAAAGTAGATCTAATTATGTGGTCCATAGATAAGAATGCTACTAATATTAAAGATATTGTCCAAAAGACAGACCACAAAAGAAGTGCAAAACCTAGACAAATTTTACCCTTGACCTGTTTTCTTTTTCCAGTGGTGATGGTTTTTTTTCTGAGCTCTGACTTGAACCTCTACTTTATAGAAATTATATTATAATCACTATTGTCTTAACATGCATATATTGGTCATTATATTTAGAACAAATGGATTATATATATGTTTAAATATATAATATGTGTAATATAGGTATACTATATGTGGATTATATATAATGCTTTTATATATACATATATTATTTTTTATTTTACTATTTGTGCCAAGCTAGAAAATTTCACTTAAATTGTTTAAGATGGTAGGAAAATTTGCATATCACTGTCTATCTTTCCATGTTGCCTAGCAGCAAGAAGAGTTAGGATAGGCTGGATTCCATGTCTGTGTGATGCCAATTGCTTTAGGGCGGCACTGTTGCTGTGCTGTGAGGTGGGAATACCGCGGAGGCTAAAAGGCAGTAATCCCAGGTCCTACCCCAAGCGATCCTGGTTAGCGAGCAGCCACTGGAGAATCACTGATCCAGCATATCCCTAGATGTAAGATCCACTTTGTTGGCTGATGGTGATGGTTAGTCCATTAGAAGACCACAGAAGATATAAAGTCTTAGGAGGGAAAAGATGAAGTGTTGGCAGTAGCTCAGTCAGGAAATAGCTGGTGCATATACTCTTTGGTGGAACCACACAGATAATAAAGAATAGGAGAAACAGTTGAAGCTTAGCTCTGTCTTTACCAGTGAATTGGCTTTTGTGCTTTTCAGGTATTTACATTGTTGACAGGCGGTTCTGCTCTCCAGATGATTCTTGTAATCAGCTGACTCAGTTTCTTTATGGATTTTGCAAACAATCACGCCGCCAAAGAATCATCCAGAGGAACCGGACGGAGAGACTCTCAGATCTTCTGGACTGGAGATACTTAGGCAGAGTAAGCGAGCCTCTGGTAAACATGGAGGAACCACTTTAAAAGTTCTACTGCATACTAAAGCATTGATTCTAGCCATAGTCTGTGGAGTAGATTCAACATCGTGACTGTTAAAATCCAGGAGCTGTTTCCATGTACTTTTTCACTTAATATGAGCCTTCAGAGACCTAAATTCAACTCTTAGCATTGAGTTTGAGTCCATCCATAATAGCAAGTCCATCAGGATCTAGCACTAATCTGACTAGTTATTCTACTGTCAGTGTTTAACTTGACACATTACAACTATGCAGAAACATTTCCTGAAATCAGGGAAAACATCAAGACAACCCAAGGGATAAAAGGGGATCTCCTTTATTAAAGTCCTTGCTCAAGAGAGATAATGTGATCATATTCCCCAACTGCAGTAGGGGGTGAAAGTGATGCTGTTTTTCAAAACAACGAGACCTGAAAATACCTCCAATCGATTATGCAGTAGATATATAAACACCCAGATGTTCACATATCTAAGAAATAAATGATTTAATATTAAATAAATTGACTTTGCCTTCATGTAATCTGCTTGCACATTGCCAAACCCTCCTAGCCAAATTGCAGATGTTTTTATTGGCTGAATATCTAAGCAGAATGATGGTAGGGGTCAGTATAAACTGGACGGTTAGTTTTACTGTCTCCATTTTATAATGAAAACAGAGAGAGAAAGCTATTAGGAGTTATGCTTCTTACCTCAGGTCTGAAGCAGGATTTACACCCAGTCTGTCTGACTGTCCAGACCCCATCTCTGTTCTATGTCACACCATTTCTCTGTAGAATGAAATGAGTGTTTTCAGTTACCTTACTATACAATTCAGAGCTCAGTATGGCCGGTATTTCTGCTCTGCTCCAGTATTTTTGTAGTAGTTCTTTGCCTTTGTATTGAAAAACAGTAAAACTATAGGTTATTGTTTCTTTCCTAATTCTCAAACTTAGGGTGACTAGGTTCTGCCATATATATGTGTGCTGTGCATGTATGTGTGTTTCAATGCCATATGTACACGTACCAAAATATTACATAGTACACTATTAATATATATATATATATATATATATAGCTTTTAAGTTTTTATGTATTAGTTAAAATAAACTTTAAACCAACTTAAAACATATATATTTCAGACCAAGGAGAGTAAGGCCTTATATTGGAATTGGGTACTAAGATATCCAAACACTTTTTCTTCTTTAACTTGCGAATTTTTTTTCTCAATAGTTTTACCAGCATGCTAGGCATCTGACTTTAAGCAGAGCTTTTCCCGACAATTTTCACATGGAACTCATGTCACTACCAATGGTAAATATTTAATGTATTATTTGTTTTGGAAGCTAAATTTTTTATTTGTGACAAGTTCTAAGAAAACTTTTAAATCTGAAAGTAGCTGGGCTGGGGATTTAGCTCAGTGGGGCCATGCTTGCCTTGCAAGTGTAAGGTCCTGAGTTCAATCCCTGGTATAGAAAAAAATCTGAAGGTAGCTAAGTACACAAAATACACTTATTGGGTGTGTGGAATCAATGCAAAGAATAAAGGAACTCACCAACTCGACTATCTCAAAGCCTCTGATTCCATCCACCCCATGTCTGGGAGAAGTATACTGGAGAGGCATCTCTACATGAAAACTCTTTAAGCCTTAATGCTTAAAGTGGTCCATGCTGTTGAGGGTTGTTCAAAAATAAACTGAGCTGCTTTAAGAGGATAGTACATTTACTATTCAAGGGTGTGTGTTCAATATAGCATGACTACTTGGCAAGAATAAAATTCAAGCATCACAGGAGGAACTGGATCAACTGAGCATTTATGTGCCACTCAGCAGTGATTTCCAGTGAGTCTTCTTCTAAATTCCAATGAGGCATCTATATTCTGAGACCATGATAGGTCGCATTTGCTATCAGATTCCCTTAGAAGGAGAGAAGACAGGAAATACAACTTGAAGCAAGGTAGTAGCAGGCATTTCTCTTTAGTGAGATCAGTCCTTGCAGAAGTCTACATCATGACATAAGACCTAAACTTGCGTGGCTCCCTAGGTACTAGGTGATGTTATGGGTGCAGAAAGATAAGACTCACACTGTTGGGTACCAGATTCACCTCAGCATAGTGTGGTGGTGCACAACTGTACTACCATCTACTCAGGAGGCAGAGGTGAGAAGTTCACTTCAGCCTACGAGTTCCAGACCAGCCTAAGCAACAAAGAGGGACCCCAACTGAAAAAATTCTCAGTCAAAGATCCACCTTAGATTAGAAGCTCTATGCTCTGCATGAGCTGATATCTTGTCGCAGCTCTAAAAATTGGCTTCCACCATCCCTCAAAGGATTATGCACAGTTAGGAGTTATCACAGAGATCACCCAAAACTATAGATCCCTATTGAGTACTTATGAATCCTTCAGGTTCATACATAATCTGATCAAAGGTCTCAATCAGGAATTACTTTTATCATGATTTTGCCTAATAACATAATTTATATTCTACTTAAATTAGGTTTCCAGAGGAAGCAATCAGAAAGATTAGCCTATAAAGAAGGCAAAAAAGGGTTTTCCTAACTGTTCCATCTACAAATTCCCACTCCCATGCTTATGCTTCTAGGATTCAGAGAATTGATTGCTTATTTAAAGACAGACACTCTTCTTGATAACTTAACTATATTTATCCATTTACTTGTTCAATTAATAAGTGTTTGGCTCTTACTCTGAATGAGGTCTTAAGTGCAGAATTCAGCTCTTTTTATGTATGTGATTCTTTCAAATAGAGCACCTGAACCTTAAAATGATGATAAATTATAGTAACGTACAAACATGGTTGAAATCCTGAGTAGCAAATGCTGTAACACTTTTACACATTTGTCTCCCAGTTCCAGCACATGCACTCCTAGAGCGCAGGGCAGGGATCACGCTTTCCAACTCGTTTCTTTGGTGGCATTGCAGTACCTGACACAGAGTTGGTGCTTAGTACATGGTTGTAAATGAATTTTCTCAGTGATTCTTAGGTAGCAAAGCAATTTGATTAAAACCTAGTGATATTTGTCCATTAACTAAAATGACAGCAACTGTTGGAATTTCCAGATCAACTGAGCAGCCTGGCTTCCAGGATTCTTTCTGGTACTGGCTATACCTGGCCAGGTCCTGCAGCTGTACTATGCAAATCCAAAGGATGAATCAGGTGTGTCCCACCTGTGACCCCTGTGCTGCAGATGGCCCTGAGCAGCTGATAATGTGCTTCCACAAGGCTGTGAACTGTTAATATTATTATGCAGTTTTTAGCAATACTTTTCATAACTCAATTGCATGGTGCTTAAGTGCAAACTATGTAGGCAACAGTGGAAGAGGGTGTAGGGGACTGCGCATATCAGCTATATCATGTATTATCTATGCTGTCCCAGACAATTTCTCTTCGCTCAGTGAGTACTGCAGAAGTTGACATAGTGACAGTATCAGCCATGTATGTGGCAGTTGAGATTAAAGGCCCCGGAGCCAGTATAAATCTTCACTCTACCACTTTCATGCCATGTGACCTTGGGCAAATCATTTGGCTTCTCTACCATTTATTTATTTATTTATTTTTGTCAAAAGGAAGAATACATTTATTGGGATGTTGTTAAAAAGATTAAAGGTGAGAACACGTGCATAGCACCTGGCACATTTTGATGCTTAATAAAAGATAATTGTACATTTAATGAACCTCTCTTGAAGTTGGGATACCAGAGTCAAATTGAATTAGAGTTTACTAGCACCTGAATAGATCACAAAACATGTCTAAATGCTTTTTAAAAAATTAAATGTGCATGTATAGTGTTTACATAATTGATGACCAAGGAGTCGTAATGTTATTGTCTCAATTTTGTCTTGGGCAGACAGATGGGTTTAAGTATCCCAGGCCTTCCTCAGTACCACCCTCTCCGTTGGGGTCTCAGGCCTCCAGTCCTCAGAGCAGCGATGTGGAAGATGAAAATGAAGATGAGCGATATGATGAGGAAGAGGAGGCTGAAAGGGATCGGTTAAATATTAAGTCTCCCTTTTATCTGAGCCATGTTCCTCATGGGAAGAAAAAGCTGCATGGTGAATACAAGAACTGAATTCCATCCTTGCTGAGTGGAGCTGATGTAGTAAGAACACACTCAGAGTGATTATTTAACAGAATGAAAATGCCATGTTTCATTCCATTTTCTTCCTGGAATTACAATGGAATTTATTCTCTGCCTAGAAAGTAGGGAGTAAGTGAATGGCAATTTTGGAATTTAGAATAAAATCCAAATTATTATTCCTCTCTAAATTTAGGCAAGAGGAGGGATGTTAAAGGGACAAGACTAGAAGTTTTAAAAAATTGCTAACTTAAGCAATGGAAATATTCTTTTAGGAATAGGTTTTTTTGGTTTTTTTGTTTGTTTGTTTTTTGTTTTCCTGTTCTGAGAATGGAATTCACAGCCTTCACACTGAGCTATGTCCCTAGGCCATTTTTATTTTTATTTTTTTGAGACAAGGTCTTACTAAGTCACTAAGTTGCCTAGCCTGGGTTTGAACCTCCTGCCTTAGCCTCCCAGAGTGCTGGGATTACAGACGTACATGTGTCACAATGTCCAGCCCAGGGCTTACTGTTTAACTTTTCATCATCATAATCCTTTGCTTAGTATTGATACAACTTCTACACCCCCATCATGCAAGTCTCCCATTCCATTCTCAAAGATGCTATGAATATACACTACTGACATATTTTAAATAACTCTTACTGATTATTTTTCATTTTAACATGTGTCAGCACCCTAAATTTATATTGAGCTTTGCTGAGAATTATCAAAATCCATAATAAATAGCGATACTAGATCTATATCTTGATGCATATTTATAACCTCTCATATGAAATCTAGAGTTCATGTTCAAATCAATGATAGAAAGATGTTGCCACCTATAGTATATCAACTTACTGTAACATTTTTCTGTTCTTTAAATGGAAAGCTTTTTTGAAAATTTTGGCAATCTCCCATCAATGATAAATTGTTAAATTCAAAGGAATAAGTATATCAATATTTAATGATTTATTTTTATTGCTATGTTTTGTTTAAAAATCTTTTAGACATTAGAATAACATGTAAAGCACTTGTTGTGAATAGTACTTAATATAACATTTAAAACTATCTTTTTAAAAAGTAGCAAAAAATTGCATCTACTTAATTATGATAAGAACAATGTCTCTAACATATTCTGTGATGTGCTTAGAGTAATTACTCTTACACTGGTTTATGTTTTAACTGTGATTTAATCTAATTTGGCAAAAAAAAAAAAAGAGTAAAAACAGCACATTCACTGTTGAATTCTTTTTTTCTTTTAGTAACAGAGTAGCCATTCGCTGTGTGAGTTCCATCTCATGCACTGTGAATACCTTGACTGACATGTCAGTTGGCTTTCATTTGTAGAGGCTCTAAAACAGTGCTGGTCTTCTCAGTACTGGGTTATCGATGGTAAAATGGAAGAGGAAGAAAGACAATGTGTCTCATGGGTCAAGACCAGTGAAAAACTGTAACCCAGCTCTCCTATTTCCCCACTGACTAGGAAAAAGTGGAATAATGGATATAAGCAACAAATCAAGCCAAAATGGAATATGTTTGCAAATACATTCTTTTTAGAGGTTCAAGAAAAAAGAAATTACCTAAAGCATAACTCTTGAAAAATGCTCTGCAAATGCTAGTAAACCTAGGGTCTGCAGAGAAGTTTGAAAAACTCTGCACTAGAAAGCAGAAAAAATATGATGGGGATTTCTATTGCAGACTTATTTGTTAAATTCCCAGAAAAATGTCATGATGGTGAGGGGAGTTTCATTGTTACAACAGTCATGCCAATGCATCCATAGTAAAACATCACAATGTGTACTTTCAAAGGATACTCTTGGTGGGTATGGTTTACAGTTATTGAAAGCATGATGCACTGTACAATAAAATGTCTCAGTATAAGACCTTAAAATTAAATTCTTTTTGTTCAATGCGGTAATAGTTCTATGATTAGAAATGCATGCAATATAAATAACTGCAGAAATTAATTGAGTTGCAAACACCTGGCTTTGAGTGACAAATTGTAGAAATTGGAATTTCTACCCCGCACTCCTCAGCTTTCTACTGAGACAGCTACTACCACTTGATTCCATTTCAGTCATTTATTTATACTTTCCCCAAGATCAACAAAGCCTGTGAGAGAAACAAATGGGGTTGTTAGTAGATAACTTTGTGTCTCATAATGTGCCTTGTACAAAGGGCAACCCCATAAGTAAATGGTTTTGTTGGAAGAAATAAAGGTACAAAAAATCGATCTTTTTATGGAAAATAATGTATAGTGCTTCATCAGTTGATGACAAGACTTTTTTAAATGGATTGTACAACTTGCTAAGATCTGTTGTGACCCCTCAAAATGCAGATGTTGAGGGCTGGGGATGTAGCTCAGTGGTTCTGCCACCTGCCTCTAAGTGCAAGGTCCCGAGTTTGATCCCCGGTACAAAAGAAAGAAAGAAAGAGAGAGAGAGAGAGAGAGAAGGAAGGAAAGAGAGAGAAAGAAAGAGATCCTAATCCCCAATATGACGATACTAGGAAATTGCAGCTTTCGGGAGTGATAGGTTGGAAGAGCAGGACCCTTATAGAAGAGACGCCAGCTGAGGTGGCGGGGGTGTAGCTCAGAGGTAGAGCACATGCTGAGCATGCATGAGGCCTTGTTTTTAATCCTCACCGCCAAAAAAAAAAAAAGGAAGAAAGAAAAAAGAAAGAGAAAAAAGCATCGGAGAGCTGCCTTGCAGGCCCTCACCAGATATTGATTCTGCCAATACCTTGATACTGGACTTCCAAGCCTCTAGACCAGTGAGAAATAAATTTGCTGCTTATAAACCACCCCATTTATGGTACTTTGTTTCATCAGCCCAAGCTAATCAAAATACCACTCTACCTTCTGTGGGGTGAGTCCGGGTGAGCAGAACTGGTTTGGCATATACCAGTGTGAGCACTACAGTGCTACAGTACTGTGTTAACAGTTCTCCAGGATACAAGGAGGACTCGAAAAGGGACTGGTCAGATCTACTTGAAGAAGTCTGAAGAGGCTTCATAGGATGAATCCAAAATTCTATGAAGTCATGTGAGTGATATCACTGCCTATTTCCCAGGGTGGCTGTGAAGATAAAATCAAATTGAGAATGAATTATTCCTAAAGGAATTTCATCAGTAGGAAGACCCTGGGAGGAATAAAGCTGCATTCCCAACTTCCCTTTCTCCTCAGGCCAAGATAAAATAATGTATTTCAAGGCTGATAAGACATATGTTTTTATTGATTGCAACCAGGTAAAGAAGAAATGCAGGTTGGAGACTGATCTGAATAAGCCAGGACCTCCTTGCCTCTTCTCTTTCCTTTCTCAGAATCACAAAGGTGTAAGGGGGGAGATGAGGTATCTACAGGGAAACAAAGAATAACTGAGAGCCCAGGCTGGAGAGGACACAAAGGCAAAGAGGGGCAGGACAGCTTCATTGTGTAGAAAGTGGCTGAATGTCCTATCTGGAGGTGGGATGTTCTATTTCATGTGCTGAAAGCAGTAATTTCCCAATTTAAGGTACAAGCTATATGATTTGAACGTTTTTTGACCTATGATCACTTGCTCATTTTAGTTTGTAAAAACACAGAAATAAAGAGAATTGCAACAATCCTTGCTGTTGTTTGTTCCATCTGAAACTCATGTTGAAATTTGTTTCCCATTATGGTGGTGGTAGTGGGAGGTGGGGCCTGAGGGAGGTAATTTGGGGAGCTGCGGTGTAGTTCAGCAGCATGTCTAGCATGCACAAAACCCTGGGTTCAATCCCTAGCACCAAAATGAATGGAGAAGGATTTGGTTGTTAAAAGTGACTAATACAGTTCTCCGGAGACTCTGGGCATTGGATTAGCAAACAGGAGAATGTGCCGTTTATAAAACAAGGCTGTCCCTGTGTGCCTATTTCACACGTGCCCTCTGCTCACCCTTTAGCTATGAAGCAGCAAGAGGCCCTCACCAGAAGCGAAGATGATGCCAGAGCCATCTTCTTGGTTCTCCCATGCTCCAGATTTCTGAGCCAAAGAAACCTCTTTTCTTTACAAATTACTCTTTCTTGCGTATTCTGCCTTTGCAGGAAAAAATGGCATGAGACGAACTTTGAGAGTTGGAAATTGGGAGAGCCATAATTAATCAGCACATTTGTAAGGCAGAACGTTCAAAGAATTCAAGCACTTATATTACTTGGAGCTGTGTTTGATAGTGACTGGTCATTTAGACAGCCTTTGAAAATTCTAGTATAAAGCACTTGAGATTGTTCTCTTTAGCTGTGGGAAGAATTATTTCATAACATAGAAGTTTAAAATATTCTTGGAATAAATATTTACGTTGGTGATATGTACAAGTTTAGGCCCAAAGAGTAAATTCTCAATAAATTGGATGTATACACTGCCTAGCAAATCTACTTTAAAATCAAATCATAATTAATGACAGGTGCCTACTGTAATGCTGTATAGTTTTTAATCACTTGTATATTTTTTGGCAGAGATAAATATTACATTGACTTGAGTATGGTTTCATTATTCAATTATTAAACAAGATTCAGGCAATGTTACAAGCATGGTATTGGTTACTTAACAGTGAAATTATTTCAAGTTACAGAGACATTAAAAAAAGATATTCTTTGTTCTTAAGTAATGGCTGCATACTGACAATAAGAATTAACAATACTTTCCACTTAAGACATTTATTAGGAACAACTCTGAATTGATCAGGTAAAAAAATAACATGATGATCTTTTAATTCCAAATAAATTATGATTTCTGTAGGAAAATATGATTTCTGTAGGTGAATGTGTGTGTGTGCGTTTGTGTGTATGTGTGTGTTTGTTGAGATGATATTGAATCCAGGTTGACTTTGAAAAGAAGCAAATTAGGTATATCACATGCACTGTGTTATCAGGGTACCTTAATGTAATTTTATAGTGTCAAATAAAGCCTAGAAATCTAGGCAATCGTGGTAAGTAGTGTTGGATTCCACTGAGTTTGTTTAGACATGGAAAATGGTTTATTTCTACAAGACTGGTTCATTCCTTTTGTGCAACATATACATGAGCAGAGTGTCTCTCCATCTGCCTATTTCTCTAGAACATTTAAATCCGTATTTCTTAACTGAACTCTGGAGGATCTCTTCAGAGCACAAAGTGGCTTTCAGCTGTGGGTCTTCAGGAAACCTTCCACTGCCTCCAGCCTCGGTGACCTTCTGTCAGCAACCACACCAAAGTGTTCTTTTCTCGATGTTTCTTGCCAGCCATCCCCTTCCCACTTCCCTTAACAACTTATCGCCCTGGATGAACTATAGAGAGACACATTCTTTCTCATCCTGATGTATATCCCCCTCCTTGGGGATGAGAAAAAAGAAAAAAAGAGAATCATTGCTGAGTAATAATAAAATGCAGATAGGTAATGCAATGAAAAACCAACAACTAAGATCAAAACAGGTACTGGCTGTGACAGAAAGAAAGAACACTTTAGAGTCTTCAACCTTATTGTTAGAAATGCTCTAAAAAGTTCAAGAGCAAGACACAAGGTGATCAACACAGTACCTGAAACAATGAAGAAAGGCAAGAACTCTACATTTCGTTAGTGTCCAAAAGAATCAAACAGGTGATGCATATTTCTAGGGTTACAAATGGAGTGAAAAGGGCTCAACAATTTTATTCACATTTTTTATATTACTAACAAGAACAGATCCATACTTGAATGTTATCTGGTATATTTTCACCAGGTTAGCAGAATGTCCTCCCGGAATCTGCTTGAATCAAACTTTTCTTCTCTGTCTGTAAGGAAAAAAAAAAAACAACAACTTAAATACACATTCTGTGTTTCAAAAGGTGAAAAGGTAAGATGAAGAAAAACTCAAGAAATGCACATTTAGCCTTCTCAGTTGTATTAACTTGTAGTCTCTGCTACTGAAAAGACAAACAAACAAACTGGGTTATGATTTTTCTCCTCAGCTTGGGACATGTTGAGAAATTTACATTTTCACATCTAAATCTCTATAATTATTGAAATTATAACATAGCAGATTTGGGAGAAATTTGAAGGACCATATGGCTTGCACTGATAAATATATCTCATGTCTAAAAAACCTGCCATTACAATCACTCGTGTCAAAGTACTTTCTACATATTTTCTCATAAAATTCATGTTACTTGGGAAAGTTGCCATAGGAACACACTTGAAAATACTCCTTTATTAGGTGATTTCTTTGAGGAGACAATAAGAAAAGAGCAGGGACATTTGTTAGCTGGATAGAACTGCAAAACCTCGTAGAATGGAATATCACATCTGGGGCAAGATACTTAAGTCAGACAGTAGTAAGTTCCTGTGACTAAAAATAGGGTGGAAGGGAATCAACATGCAAGGGGGGAAGGAGGAGTGGCTGGAAGCAAAATGCATCTCCTCATTTTCTCAGAGATCACTTCTAGATAAAGCCATATTCCTTCAGTTCTAATATGGATACCTGTGCTAGCACATTTTGAAATACTGAAAATAATGGGACATTACTTAAAGAGAAGGAAAATAATCACACCCAACCAGAAAAGTAACCCAGTTTAAATTCCACTGAAATGAAAATTCACTACATAAAAGCCTTCCAAGAAATACTTAGGAACTTTAGAATAAAAACACTACAGGAAACTAATGATCAATGTATCATATGAGAATCCAAAACTTCCCATGAATTTAGATGAATAACATTTTGTATCTTCACTTTAGTGACAAGCCACTGGGAAAACTTCATTAATTAGAAAATTGAATTTATTTTTCAAAAAGATTTGAAAAGGGCATCTATAAAAGGCATGCTTTCTCCTCTTTAAAATTACCTCTCCTTTCCCTAGTACAGCTCACTTTGTTTTCTGGCTTGCCACAACTTTCCAACAATCAAATCCAAAACTTTACTGCTAACCAATCTCTATCACAGCTCTTTTCCTACTGACTTCAGAAATTGTCCAGTATTTTAAATCTTGAATTTTTAAAAAAAGAAAATCTTGGATACAACATCTGTTATCCATTATTCAACTATATTTTTCACCTCTTCGTTGCAAGAGTTCTGAGAACCATGTCAGATTTCCAATACCTATGACCTGCTTTTCTGCATTTTACTTTCTTTTACCCAATTCCCTCTAAACAAAGTGTCAGAGAGGGCACAGCAACAGCGATTTGCATCACTGGCCAGGAGCTGAGTGGAAGGAGTGGGGGTTGCTGTTTAATGTCGCCTGAGTTCTGTTTTCTCACTCACCATCTTGCTAGATCTGACGCTTCTGATAATAATCCCTTCCTGAGATGGCATCCTTGACTTCCGGTTGACTTTCAACAATTCCACTTGCTTTAACTTTTACCAGTAAGCAACTGGATTTGTGATTATTTAATCATTTTGGCCTTACTGTTTCAACTAAAACAATGACGTTGACTTAAGGCTCTTTCAATTTTAAAGGTTCTTAGAGAGATGTCACAATAGGGTACAGATCGTGCAATTCATATAAAATTCCCCAGTCTCACCATGGAAATATTTTTATATTATTGGGACTCATTTTAATGAGAAATATACCGGTTATAGAATATACTCTCTGGTTATAAGTATAACTGGTTATACTTGTTATACAAAAAATATCCCTACAAATTTGGGGAAAGTAAGAGGCAGAATTCCAAAAATAAGCAAAACTGCACTGTCCTGAAGTAAAAAGAGGTCACTGTATTTGTACCTTCTTGTGGTTTCTGCAACAAAGCCAGCAACAGGGCTGCAGCCTCTGGAAGAGGCAGTAACTGGGGATTTGGGCTTCGTCTTTCTGCAGAAACAAAAATGTATACAGATTCTATTAGCATTTCAATATTCATATAAATCACATCCTACTCTAGTAGGGCACAATAGCAGAACAACCTCTATGAAATAGATGTTTGATCCCTAAGCAAAGAGTACATAGAACACTGTTTTGTTTTCCCTTGAAAATGACTTACAGCTGGTTATGCTGTGTTTACATGCAGGGTATGGAAGAGAATTTAAACTCATACTGAACTAAAGAGAATTCCATGAAAGAAAGGATGAAAAGAAAGAGCCCGTAGGAAATTTCTCTTTTCACAGTTTAATCTTTCTGTCTGGGCAGAAAGGTTGAGATACCATTCTGCTTGGTGCCTGTACTGTTTCCTCTCTCTAAAGGAATTTAAGATAATAATCTATATTCCTGGTCACATCGAGGTAATTATTTGACTCAAGAAGCATCTGCTAAATATTCAAAGTGATTTCAAGTGTAAGTTGACAGAACACACATTGCCCTGATTCAACATAAACCTTGATTTTTAATTTGGAGGCAACTGAAATTGGAAAACAAATCTTACTGTCACAAAATAAACTTGGGCGGGGGATTTAGCTCAGTGGTGCCGTGCCTGCCAGCAAGCGCAAGATCTTGAGTTCGATCCCCCACCTCATACCAAATTAATTAATTAATTAATTAATTAATTTAAAAAATAAACTTAAATTTGTTAAGTGCCTACTATATGCACGACAATGTTTGATATTTTTCAAAATAAGTATGCTTTTTACTCAGCATTTCAATCTACAGTTTTATACAAATCAATCGAATTGTTACTTTTTAATTCATTGCCATGGACAGATTTATCATGAAAAATAAGTTCCTGACCCCATTCTTACTGGCCTTCACTTAACCACTTTTGATTGGAACCTTTTAATAGCTCTTTCTAGTAATTATTAGAGGCATACACTTGAACGTCCTAGGAAAAATATATTAATAATAAAAATATTGTTTAAGCACACATTTTTAAAGATATTGCCCTAAATGAGCAGAGGTATTTCTAGACACAGTTGCAGATTTTTTTGTTTTTGTTTTCCAGTGCTAGGAATTGATCCCAGGATCTTCACACTGAGCTATATACATCCCTACCCTCTTCCTCCTTCTGAAACTTTGAGGCAGGGCTTTGCTAACTCACTAAATCGCCCAGGCCGGGCTGGAACTCTCAATCCTCCCAGGAGCGGGAGGATTACAGGCGTGCTCCACCAACCCCTGCAGCTGAGTGAACCCCAGGCCTCGCCGTCCCTGGAAAACTGGACTCGCACCGGCCACATCGCAGCGGCCGACCCGGAGCGCGACCCTCAGCCGGAGCGAAGCTGTCGCCCTGCCCCGCCCCGCCCCGCCCAGCCGCCGCTTCCGGCGGCCGGGCGCCACCCACCTGGAGGCAGCCGGTCAGAGAGGTCCTTCCGGCGGCTCTGGTCGGCGAGGAAGCGGCGCCCCTCTGCAAAGGCGAGGCGCAGACTGAGGCCGCGGCGCCCGGACTTCCCGGCCCAGCCGGGCGGCGCCCAGAGTCCCCGTGCGCGCGGGACAGCAACCCTCGGGCTCAGGCGGACCACAGCTCACACTCGGGGCCACTTCCCCTCGCCTCCCCGCTCCCTCTGCCTTTCACTGGGTCCCCTCCGTTATCTAGGTCCGATCTGACTCCCTGCCTATCCCTCTCCGGGACCTGCTCCGGGTCGCGCGCCCCAGTTACCGTAAGGAAAGCAAAGTATTGGGGACTCACGTGCCCCCTTCAGGTACAGCATGGCTTGCGGAGTCCAGTTCCTTCTCTCCAAAGGTCTCTACAGGCCCAGGAGGAAAGAAGCGCGGTTACTGAAACCTTGCAGCCAGGTCCTCTACCAGAGAGAAGAGGTTGGGGGCAGAGGAGAGAAAGAAAGAGGAAGCAAAAAAGAGAGAGGAGCTGGGAGCCCCTTTGCGTCCTATTACCTGCGGAGCGCGGCGGGAGTCTCCGAGGGCTGAAAACACCAGGAGAAGGGCCAAGGTGGTGGCTGACAGACCTCTGAGTCCCTACAGGAATCGAGCAACCAAAGAGGTCATTTGGGTGCCCGTCGGAACTTCTGCTTCCTTCCCTGACGCGGGACAAGTGCAGACCCCTCGCTCAGCATGGGCAGGGTCCTCCCGCTTCACGTTATGGCTAACAGAGTCCAACTTTAGATATTATCTAGAAATATATTATTGTCGTCAACTCCACCAGAAAATTAGGTGAATAAATGAAATTGTTTTCTCAATTAAATCAAGTGATTCTCTGATTTAAAAGGAATATTATTCAAATACCGTTTGGACCCTAAAATAATCGCTAAATATAAAACAGAAAGCTATAAAGCTTTTATAAAATAACTAAAAAGTTTTAAGAGAATACAGTGAATAAAGCTCTACTTACTTTCATGTTCTGCTCCTTTCCAGAGCCCTGTGGTAGCATTAACTCTTCTGGTGAGTTTTCTCATCTTGTTCTGAATTTGGGGCTTTTAAAGTCTTCGTGTCATGACATCTCCCATCTGCGTAGATGGGGAATCCCACAGGGACTAGGACGAAAAGTGATCAGGATGGAAGGGATCTGACGGTGAGATTCAACTGCAGGAAGTGGAGGAATGACTGACGGGTGGACACCATTTGTTTAGATATTGATCACATCAGCCAGGACATTCTGAGTGTTATCAGCGTCATTGCCCTTGCTTTTCCTATTAGCTGCCCAGTGCATTTTATTATCAGCATTCACATTAATGAGACTGATCAGCAGTCTAAGGTAGACTCATAAGTCGATGAATAAGTTAAGATAAATTGCTATCACGCTATCACTGATGGCTGAAGATGAATTATTTGGGTACACATGAAAAGCTTAGGGAAGCTCAGTGGAATTGGACATCAGTCATATACTTAATTATCCATCCATTCAATTATTTAATAAATACTTATTGAATGTCTGAAACATGTCAGATAATCCTTTTGATTCAGCAGACACAGTTGTACATTAAAAAGACACAGTTTCTGGTTTGATCAGGTTTATATTCTACTCAGCAAAGAGACACTTGAGGGAGGGAGGAGAGGAGAAAGGGATGAAAAAGAATTAAGATGTGTTACGAGTATATACCGACTCTCCCTGAGGAATGCAATCATATTCTGCAAACACTTGCCAGTAAAAAATAATTTTATTTAAAAAAACAGTCGAAACTAGTAGATAGATGAGTAAAGTAAGTTAAATATTTTAAATTATTAAGTACAAGTAATCAAGGTGATGTGATAGGGTAAGTGGCGGGCTACCACAGGGCAGATAAAAGTAAAGGGGATTCTTAAAGGAGGAGGTGGAATCAGTCATAGGATAAAAGGGTATGGATGAGTAGTCCGGGTCTTCTAGGTAGGAAAACAGAAAAGCAAACCCAGGGAAAGTGGAGAGGTTGACTTGTTTAAGGAATAGGAAGGACAGCACTTTGAAATGGAGTTGGTGAGGAAGAAATGGGCTAGTAGATATGGAATATGGTTAGCGGAAGATGATGATGGCTTAGACTAGGGCAGAAGTAGCAGGGTGGAGAGGTATAAATTAATTTGGGGTACATATTGGAGATAGATGATGTAGGATTTGTGGATGAATGGGGTATGAGAGTATGAAAAAAATAAGGATACTGCTTAGACTTTTGGCTTCAGGATTGGGTACATGATAAAACAATTTGCCAGAGCTATAGAAACTTCTTAAGGAACCAGTGAAGAGAAATGAAAGAGCTCCCTTACAGGCATACTAGCACTAAAATGTATATTAGATACGCAAGTACAAAATAGGTGACTGGAAATGCAAAATTGTAGAGAGCTTAGCAAAAAGATAATCAGCTTATACATTGTTTTCTAAAGGTAGTGATATAGAGGAAATAAATGCAATTATCAATCTGATAGATGTCAGATATGCCACGTTTGTGTTCCCCAAAATTGAAGAATGAATTCTAAGGAACAAAGGAGGTAAAGAGTAGGAAAATTTTATGGAAAGATAGCTCCTGAGAGACAGAAGGGGACCTGAAATTGGGTTGCTAATGAGCTCACCCTTCAAAGGAAGTTTTATAGAGCAAAAATCACAAGTTGGGTACAAAATCATGAGGTGAATACAACATGAGTCAAAACTATGATCAACCAATAAGATTATAAGTGTAGCCCCTTAGGTAATATTGATCCAATGGAGAAGCAGGTCACGTAGCAAGTGTACATGGAAAGAACAAAGACCCTTTTTAGGAAGAGATGAATGAGGAGGTCCTAGTCATCACCTGGGTGACTGATGTCTATCTAGACTTTATTGGACCAGGTAATACCAATTATAGTATATTGCTTATCCCATGGGGAGGCATGTAGGCTTAGTCATCCTGTCACTATCTTGAGGCCTGGCCTTCAACAGAAGCGCCTCTAGCTACAACTGTAATGTGTTTTCATCCTGTGCACTGACTAACTTAAGGAGCTAGCTTTAGCTGTCTGTGATATTAGAAATGATCAACTTTAAGAATTTTAAGAATTATAATAATCTTAAGGCAGCAAAAACCCTAGAAGTAAATGGGGCTAAAGAAAAAAGGCAGGGACAGAAGTATGAAAACAAACACACAGAAAATGAGCAAATGAAGCAGAGTCAGAAAAGGAAAACAAAAGTAAAACAATCAGAAAGGAAAAAGAAATTGTAGAGGATGTTGTTGTCATGGAAGCCAAGAGAGGATATCTAGTAGTATTGAGAGGTCAAGCAAGATGAGGTAGAGAAGTATGCAATGGATTTGAAAATATGATGGCTTTTGAAGATGGACACGAGATTAATAGTGAATAAGATGTGAGAAAATAAAGCCAAGGGCAGACAACCTTTAGCAATGTCACAAAAGGAGGAAAATGAACATTGTTTTTTTTTTTTTCAGCACTAGGGATGGAACCTAGGGCCTCACACATGCTCAGCAAGGGTTCTACCACTGAACTATTTTTTATTTTTACCGAATTGAGAAGACTGGCCTTGAACTTATAATCCTCCTGCCTCAGCTTCCCGGGTGGCTAGGAGGAATCTTTTTCATAAGATACTTGAACTGGGTGGGGATTTGTTATTCTTCTGGCCTTCTAGTAACATTTGAACCCCTTCATTTTTAGGGAATGCCCAAAATTCCCTAAATTATAAATTACAAATGTTGTGGAGAGCAGTCTCCCTGGAATTTCTGCCCTCCCTGCAGAGTGTGGGCACAGGGCTCAGACCTTCCCAGGCAGACGTAAGTGCTCAGATGGAGGCTGGAGGGGCGTAGGGGAGAGAAGCATTCTAGTGCAGCAGTGCTCTCAGTCAGACTGAGTTTCTAAAGCAATACTAGCTACAGTGCCAGTGGCAGATTCTAGCATTCAGTGCTAGATGGGCGGTGATCGTGGCTCCAGTGCTTTTCTAATAAAGTTTTCTTTTGCTTAGGTCAGGCAGGTTGGTTGGTTTCTGATGATAACTGAGAAATCATTTGTAAGCTATGAAGGCCAAAGGGGATGATCAGTAGAGGAGAAATTAATGATGGAGAAGAGAGCAGAAAAAGGAAGTTTTTGGGCCAGAGGCATAAGATCTAAAGGATGTCATTATTTAGGCGAAACAGGTATATCCATAGGCAGACACTGAACAAGGATGAGTATCCACTGTACGAAATATGAGAGATGAAAGATGAGATGACCCTTGTCTCAGTCCATTGTGGCTGCTATGACAAAATACAATAAACAGGTGCAATAGTTTGGGTCCTAAGTGTCTCCCCAAGACCCATGTGTTGACGGCTTACTCTACAGACAGGTGCTACTGGGAGGTGGTAGGTTCTTTGGGAGTTGGGGCCAGTGGGCAACCTTCAGGTTATTGGGACCATGCTCTTGAAATGGAGTGGGAGCCCAGCCTCTTCCTCTTCATCTCTTTTGCTTCCCTGGCCTGAGTTACTATCATGATGTGCTTCTACAGGCTTAAAAGCAGTAACTCCACTGGATCATGAAATGGAATCTTCAAAACTGTCAGCCCAAATAAACCTTTAGATTTATTAGGTCTTAGGTATGTTATAGTAACAGAAAGCTAAGACAACTGAGAAGCTTTTGAATAGCAGAAATTCATTACTCAGTTCTAAAGGCCTAGGAAGTGTTCGGTATTAGCATGGTTAGGTTCTCAGGAAGGCCTTCTTCTGCTGATTCGGTTAGAGGCAAATGAGCTCCCTGGGGTTCTTTTATGAGGGCATTAATCCTACTCCTGAGGGCTCTGCCCTTTTTTTTTTTTTTTTGGTACCGGGGATCGAACTCCGGTCCTTGCGCTTTCGAGGCAGGCAACAGAACCACTGAGCTCTGCCCTTCTGACCCAGTCACCTCCTAAAGGTCCCACCTCTAAATACAATCACTGGGGTCTAGCATTTCAACATACAGAATTTTAGAGGGTGCGGTTATTTAGCCCACAGCAGTTCCTTCTAAGTTAGGGCAGTGCTTCTCAGGCATTAATGTCCATAAGAATCAACTGGGAATCTTTTTGAAATGCAGCTTTGGATTCAATACAATTGCGTTGAGGCACGCAATTCCACACTTCTGATACACTGCCAGGTGACACTGGTGGATGCTACAGATCCATGGACATTTTGAGTAGCAAAGCTTAGGATATAGAAAACGAGGAAAAATAAGCCTTAGAATCTGCATAGCTGGGAGAATGGCAAAACCCAGAAATACTAGTGGGTGTGGGGGCAGAATAGATAAGTTTCATTTGGGATTGACATTTGAAGGGCTGATGTTATTTACGTGCAAACCCTTGGAAAAGACAGTTTGGAATTTGGGTGCTTGATATTTAGACTTGACAAAAAATGAGAGGTTTGGTTGGTGAGTAGAAGGGGATTAAAAAAACCCCCTAAGAATAAGTTAACCATTGAAAGTGGATAAAATTGTCGCTCCACTTTAAATATTAGATTTTAAGATTTTAATTTCAAAGGATTGTAGAAAATAACTAAAAAAAGAAAAACACTACCTCCAAAAAAGAGCATGAAATTTTACCTAATATGCTGTTTGTTTTAAATGAAGTCACATTAGTAGGTTGCCTAACAAACAAGTAAAATAACTTTTCTCCTTTTTATAATGTACATAAAGGTTTTAGGAAGAGGGACAAGAAAAATGAATCACCAATAAAAACGTGTTTTGAACTTTCAATTTTAGAAAAAATGAATGTGCTTTGTTGATAATAGTTTAGCTGGTGAATTCACAAATAGATGTTTTACGTCAAAGTTGCCATTTTCAATTTCATACGCAGAAATGAAGAGAATGGCTTGACATGTTATCAATATTGTCAAGAGTAACATGCCAGAATATTTCTGCTTAAAGGCTTTCGAGAGGGAATTTGCCCCCAATGGTTTTGTTAAATCACAAAACTTTTATTAGAGAGCTAAACCAAGAGATGGGCTATATTATTTGGTACAAAAGCAGGTGATAGGTAAACTATTGAATTTTATTCTGCTTGGAGTATGACCAGGCAGTGGATGCTGAATAGTGGATACTAGTCTCCTAAATCTGTGAAAAAGGCATACTCAGGGAAGACCATTTGCCTTCCTCGCTGATGCTATCTGGATTCTCACAGGGGACTTGTAAGGTGCCCAGGCCACATTTAAACAATTATCTATCACTCTTTAAATGTGTTTTCTCAAGGACAGTGGTTATTGTGCACACATGGAAAGCAACTGCTATCCTGGAAAAGGTTACTTGGACAATATGGTTATTGTGGTACCAAAACGCCCAAATTAATTTTGGTGACAGAGGAGAGGTTTGGGTTGGTATAGTATGAATGAAGACATGGGCTTAATCTCCTACAACGGCTTTCTTCTCTACCAGGGCATCTGTTCCTCAGGCCAGTTATCTTACCAAAAGGTAGAGATCATTTTCCAAAAGGCTATCAATCTTAGGAGTGGCTTTGGGCCATTAAGAAGCCTTGTTCTCCAAAATAAAACTTGCTACTCATTGGTCAAGGTCTTTACCCAGTCTTTCTTTTACTTAAAGTTTAGATTCCCAATGAACTTATTTCCGGGGATAATGTAATTCTTCTATTTACAAATCCTTCCAGATCCTTTCTTCAGAACTACATAAAAAGAGAGTATGAAGATATTAGTTTACTGGAGAGTTAAAAAGTACTATCTAGGAAGCTGGGGGGTAAAGTGAAGTAGGCTATTTTGCATGATTATCTCAATTAGAATATTTAAACACCCATTTCTTAAATGAACATAACATGCATGAATGACTGTAGAGCAACATTTACTACAGGATAACTAAGAGTACAGGGCTGTTACTGGTGGACTATTGTGTATCATGCAAAAATAGCCAAAAGATACAGCAAAAAAGTTTTGGATAAAGATGCAAGCATCAAAATACCATCCCCAACAGCTCTTTGGAAATTATGAGCCTCAGAAACATGGAGAATGAATCGATGATTCCATAATGCAAATTAGGTTGTACATTATTTGTAGCCAGGTCTGATCATCAAATAAGATGAGATATGTAGTAGTTCTACTTCTTATCTAGGTCCTTGGATCAGAAATACTTCCAGGACAATATCACCTCATAATTTCTTAACACTTTAAGCCCTTTTACATTCATTTTAAAATTCAGTTTTACAGTAGCATAGTAGATACTGAGTTTCACTTTTGAGTAAGCTCAGAGAACTCGAAGTGACATCTTGCTAAGTGGCAGGGTAAAGACCAGTGCTCACAGCTGCCTCAAAGGGCCACACTGCAGTGCCTCCCTTCAGGGATGTGACTGTCCATTATCACATGCACATCTGACAGATGGTGCTGCCCAGACCCCTCCTGGGGCAGCACACTATTTCTGCCTATTTTCATTTGAGGCATAAAGTTACCTTGTCATTTTCTCTTGGGACTAGTTTTACTCTATAATAGCAACTCCAATGACAAAACTACCATCTAGAAAAAAACCCACAACAAAAACTTTTTAAAAATTTCATATGAGAAAGGGAATAGTAACAATCAGCGAGTCACATCAGAACTTTTTCTCCCTCAGTAGCTTCCTTTGCTAGTGAATAAAGGCAGCCAAGCAGGCAGTCTGCAGGCAGTCTGCAGGCAGTCTTTCCTTCATGATTCCTCCTGTCCACTGATGAGCTGCTGGGTGTAGCAGAGCCAGTTTCTCAGGTCACAAGGAACGTGGAGTAGAATGGTAGCGACTTCTACAGTGGCTGGATCACTCACCTTCACGGCTGATAGAAGTCTGCTCTGTGAGACTGACTTCAATGATCAGTGGTGACAGTAATGCAAAAAAGGGAATAATTAGCTTTCATTTATTCAACCAACATTTATTGGCCACCTACTAAATGCCAGGAATTGGAGATACAAATGTAAGGAGAGATCTTAAACCTCAAGAATCTTTTCCGTCACCAAATATAAAGCAAGTAGATAGTTCTATGAAAAGACTTAAGTCTAGAACGAGTGAGTCAGAAAAGATGTGACAGAAGCCACATTTTAATTAGGCCTTGACAGCTGGATAAAGGTGGTCATAGAGAAGCGTGTTAGTCAATAAATTTCAGGCACACTGCTTCTGTGTCCAACCTCTTACAGGGGTATGGAAGAAAGAAGACAGAGGCTGGGACATTATGCAGTCCAAGACCTCAACATATCAGAGAGATAAGCTACTTATTTAGTAACAGATCCAAGCCTTTCAGTTCATCTGACAATAGACTTGCAATGTAATTATTGCATTCAACAAACACTGTACTTATTTGGTACATCCGGTGGTAGATGTGGGCAGTGATTTTTGGCTTTAACACAACCTATTAATAGATGTGAAGTTATTCTACTTAGGTGACAAACACTCAAGTAATGATATATTGCTTCCTTTTTCACAAAAAAACACACATTTCTCCACTAATGTCTAAGTTCACTGGTCTCTTTAAATTTTATGATAGCAATCACAGCAGCTTTGAGTAAATGGCCTCAGCTGCCTGCAGGAAGTTAAATTCTATAGCAGGCTTCTAGATACAGGAAACAGGAGAGGCAGTTCTACATGTTTAGGCTTACAATTAAAGAATAAAGCTCTTTTCCAAAAGAGGAAAGAAAAACCTGCTATGGTAAGTTGATAAGGTCAATACACACTACGGAGTTGCAGAAGAAATCCTATGTTAAGAAAACCCTTCTGGAGTTAAGGGATGTCACATTTTTCTCCAAAGACACCCTCTGAAAACAGAATCACAGAGCTGAAGGCTAAACTGTCCTCATGTCCAGATAAGGGTTAGGATACGAAGACCATAAATTATGCCATTACCATTTGGAGTACAATTTAGGATGAATTATTTAGAAATGAGGCCAAGATTTCATAAGCCAAGTCAAGTTACAAATTCTCCAGACAGGTGCCATGGTTTATTCTTCCAGGTCTCCCATTTAGCACCAGACTCCAGTTCTCAGGAGCTACCCAGAAAGTCTGTTGAAGAACCACATGCTTAGCAGACCATGGTCTTATTTATTTATTTTTTGTAGTCTTGGGGATTGAACCCAGGCCTTCATATGAAGTATATTCTCCCCTATTCTCTTTTATTTGAAACAGGGTCTCACTAAATCTCTAAGTTGCCCAGGCAGGGCTTAAATTTGTGCTTCTACTGTCTCAGCCTGGGATTATAGGCATGGGCTTCTGAATCCAGCCAATTTTGATTTTCATAAATAACACATTGCCTAACGCAAGTGGCATTCTTTCATTTTTTAATACTTTTCAAACTTAGGAGTGCTTTTACTTATTTGAAGTCTATTTGTATATACGATTACATTAAAAAATTGGAAATAAAAGATGTTAAAATCATTTGGTAGACATGAAGAAAATTGCATAAATAGCTAGTTTTCAAGAAATGTGGTGATTTTGCAGTGCTAAATTAAACTTTAGAATTCCACATCATTTTTTTTTTTTTTTGGTACCGGGCATTGAACTCGGGACCTTGTGCTTTCGAGGCAGGCGCCGGGAAACACTGAGCTAAATCCCCGGGCCTAGAATTTCAAAATAAAGATATACTTGACCACCAATTAATAGAAAAGTACCCTTTTATTGAGAAGTAAGACAAGTGCATTTACAATATTCAATCGTTAAGATTATATAATCTGACTGAGACTTTTAAAAGCAGCAGTGTACCATGAATTACAATTTGTAAGGGGAAAAGAAAGACATTCCAAATGTTTGTTACGGAAAATACATTGGAACAACGACAGAAACACTTAAGGCTATGTAGTATTAGACCTTTTTGTCCATCTCTGTAGAAAAAAATCAGAGTACATTTTCGTCATAAAGACAGAAGGCTGATTTTGGAAGGGAAGAAACAATAAGACAGGGCTTCTGTCAAAAGGCTAGTATGTTTAAAAATAGAGCCTCATCAAGGTTTAGAATAAGAAATATACGCTGCCAAGCAGTCCCACACTCACAGGATATTAACTGCGCTCATTAAAACTAAAAACTGCTCCAGTCCCTCAACCTCACTAAGGACTCAGGGATTACAAGAGTCTTTTCAAGTCCAATAATGCTTTCTGAAATAAGATTGTTGAAAAAGGATCTGTTAACAGTGCAAAGAACATTTTGATAGAAATTCATGTTTACAAAGAAGTTAAATGATACAGATGTTCCTTACACCAGCAGATGCTGTCCTTGCTCTAAAAAGGGAGAAATACCTAGCTAGCCACTGTAACTAATTATGAGTCAGTCAAAAATACGTGTAAGAGTCCTTCAGGGCACCTTGTATAAGTCAGTTCCCAAAGTATACACATTT